GTCGAGGCAAATTTTTCGTTGCACCTTGTAACGACCAGGCTGACGGGGACATCTCACGTCTCCGAACTGCGACGCAAATTCTCCTTTCAGGTTTCGGTTCGCCTGCAGCTCTCCAAGCACGTTGCACACGTCACAGTAGTAGCTGAAATACGCCTGTCGATTAATTGTCCACATGCCGTAAGCAGCGAAATTACCAGTTATTGCCGTATCCGCCGCACCCGTTGTCCAACGCATTGAAGCAAGGCAGTTTCGATATTTGCGGTATGTTAAAGGAAGCGAATTCAACTTTGGTGAAGAAGCTTTGAGGTAAATTGTTGCTACGTACATTGACCACGAATTCCACCGTAAGACAACCAGGAAATTGTGGTGGATTGGGCCGTATGACCACAGTAGTGACATCAATGTCGATGATTTTTTGGCGGCCAGGTTTGGCTGAAAACGGTGTAAAGGAAAACCAATTTTTCCATACAATATAATGCATATTCCGTTTCTAATCATATTCTATTCATTACTATCAAAAATGCCTTTATCAAATGCCGTAGGTGCAGAATGCATAAATGTCATGAGATCTGTCATACATCTCGTGAAACTCTGGAATTCTCACCCGCATCATAGGAGAATCATAGAGCACCTGGTCAAAAATCTGTCAATCTCAATGGACCCCATTTCAGACATCTGTTTAAAAACTGACCAAACATCTCTAACCTTCATTGATTGTCATCGCTGTGGGTGCGCCATGAACGCGAGTCGACTCTCCACCAACATTCTCTATTTTGCGCTTCTTGCCTCCGCTGCTATCCAAACAAATCTAGCAATCGCATCCTTCCAACGCGTTCTTGGATGACCGACTCGACTCGACGTTGATGGCCTAGAGGAAGCCAATTAATACTTCTTGTTGTCCACCGGTTATTTTCAAACGAGCGATATGATAAGTTCATTTTCTCCTGGAGTTGTACAAGGCAGAAATGACGGCTGTTAATCAAGTCCGTTGTCGAATTTCGCTCGGGACGTGATCCCGAAGGGAGACCTTGCACATTTTTGCTCCAACACTCTTCACGTGACCGTAACTTTGTTCTCCTTTAGAATGGGAGGACGACTGAATATCTTCATCGAGAATATAGTTATATCTTCTATCTTTGTTGCATCGGCAGCTCAGTGTAAAGTGAAGATGTTTACTATGGCTTAATCTGGTCCACGCAGCATTCCTTCTTCTGTTGATTTATCCTTCTAGCAAGTACGTGATGTTCCCCTGATGGCCAACGTATGCATGGCTAGTTACTTCTTCGAGTTCTGTGCCATTCCTCGGAGCGATGCTCGTTTCTTATCCATTTCTTCTTCGAGAGGTTAACCTCAAATATGATCGTGACAGATGCTTCCTGTGACTGCTGGATCTTCTGTTGCAGTTCCGTTGTGTGCTTGGGCGGAAACGATGCAGTATTCTGCAAATGACTCCATCAGTATCGATGTCGTTGCACCAGTTTTGCCGACTGAAGTTTCACTTTAAGTTAGCGGCGAAAACCACTAGAAGATGGCGTCCCCTTGGTTAACTCATCGACGCATAATTATGTGACATATTTTGCTGAACAGCTTCATGTCGGTCATGCAATAAATGATCACTTCCTGAACTGGACTATAAAAAAACAGAATTTATGCCATGTTCAGGCAAGATATGTAATGCAGCATTTAATACAGTTTTCAATGCAGTCGGATCGAACTCTATCTTGTAGGCGACAAAAGCTAAATAGATGGAATTTAATATTCGCTGCTTCTTCGCCAGCTGCTGGATAACATGATCATGGCCTAGGAGAAAATCTGGTACCTGTTCGTGTGCCTATTCACGATCTGTGACTAATTCGAGGTCGTTTCGAATACTTGCTGCAGACTTTGTAGATTTGCAATATGATTACAATTGGTAGATAGTTCTTGACGTTTTCAGAGTAGCCTTTCTCATGCGAAGAATCGATCTTGACCTCTTCCACAGTTATTGCGTTTGACAGGCGCTTTAAACTGAACTATTCCTCTTACCTTGAGGTGTTATGGTCGTTAATAAGCTTAACCGGAAAATTTGTCATTTTTGACGTTTGTGGTTTCCCACCCAATTCTGTCTCAGGTGACTTCAGGGAGGCGTGGGACAACGTGGTTGGCAACTTTCAATTCAGGTCTAGTTTGTAGGAGCGCAGACTGTTGTAGAACTTGCGTAGATGGCGTCAATCCGATTGCAGTCAGTACCTTCGTTTTTTTAGCGCAGTCGGAAACTGTGGTTGAAGGGAAATATGCTATTCTACAGCTTTCAGGCTTTTTGCCTCTACGAGCCTCCTTTGATCGAATTTTCCTGTAATTTTCGTAGTCGTTTTATCTGGACATTTTTCATATTTCTTGACGCAATGCATGCACACTTTGTCCATTTTCATTAGGGTTTTCAGTTTGGCCCTTCTGGCCACTAGACACTTTGTTGAAGGGCTGATACGCTGGCCTTTCGTTAATTTTGCTGCCCAATTTGATGTTCAATGGCAGATCTTGATGGCATTGGCAAAATGGCTACAATCCTCAGCTATGCCATCACTTACGATCGTTTCAAAGTCTGTCAGTGGCAGATTTCTTTGGGATAGCCTTGTTCTGTTTAAAACGTTACTTTTTTGAATCATTTGATCCTCTTCTCTTTCGTAACATGGTAAATAGGAAACGTAGATGTCTTTAGATGTCTGCATGGATGATTTTCGCGACTGTGACCAACACGCCTGATATTATTCTTTTCTTGTCAATCAGTACATGGCCGATTCTGTTCAGACATCCAGTGTCCAGTGTCTCCGTGGAGCTTTCTTGGAAACGGTGTTGACGACTTGCAGATGATTGCTTTCTAGCAAAAAACGGCATCCACAACTTTCGAATGACTAAGAATCTTTCTATTTTGTACATTATCATTTTGCTTGAAACGAGAGTGCTTATTTCTAATATTAACGATTCATAGAAAATCATTGAACCCAAATCTTCAAGCTATTCATGACCTACAGACTGTAAAACATATATACTAAGAGAAACAAGAACCTCTTCCCAGTCGGGAAGAGGAACGACTCGATCAGAGCACAAACAGGAGTCTGCGTCGAGTCTATGACGTGATGGCATGGCAAGGTTATGTTACAAGAGGAAAATCCGACTTTCGTCGGATAAGGCGGTCATTTACTTGCGCTCAAGCGACCGTAAACGGCACTTAGGAAAAATTCCAGACTGAACCCTTCTG